GCAGTGCCAGGCAGGGAGCAGACTCCAGACTCCAAAGAGGACTTGGAAGGAAATGCAGGGAATTCCTGAAGGTTAGTGCTTAGAGGAGGGGTACCTTGTATTTCTGCCCTCCCCCAGGATCCTTGCCAAGTATAGAAATGGAGATACAGTGGGAACAGCAACTGACTCTAGAGGTCTCAGCTAAGCACCGCGGTGTGTCTTCAGCCCCATGTCCCCTCCTTCCTAGTCCCCTGGGGCTCAGCAGCAGGGCAAGGACTTTGGTGGTTTGGGGTTCCAAGGTAGCCCGCCCATCCACGTGAGGCACCTCGGAGTAGCCCCATGATCTCTCCTTCAGGGGGCTCTAACAAGCATGAGGAACAATAACAAAGGTGGGGGTAGGTAGACTCACCATCAGTAATTTCCATCTCATAAGGGGAGGGTCTCCTCTTCACTCGGTTGTTGGTGGCAAACATAGGGAAGGCATCATGCTCCCCGAAGAACCCACTGTGGGAGGAAGAAGGCAGATTACATGATCATGTGTAGGATGGAGGTGAGACAGACACTCCTTAGGGATCCTCCTGTGTGTTCTTGAGCCCCCATCCCTGGAAAAACAAGGGCAACCCTGGTCCCTTAACAGCTGAATCGCGGACAGAAGGAGCATGAAACACACGCTCATACGCACAAACGTACACAGAATGCCCCCCCTCGCTCTGTGGTGAAACAAGCAAGGAGAGGAGGGGTCCCATACCCATGCACCCCTCCACACAGAATGGAACAAACACAAAAACCTGAATTGAGGATAGAAGGAGCATGAAACACACGCTCATATGCACAAACGTGCACAGAATGCCGCCCCCCCTCGCTCTGTGGTGAAACAAGCAAGGAGAGGAGGGGTCCCATCCCCATGCACCCCTCCACACAGAATGGAACAAACACAAAAATGAACACACACACACCCCTAAAGACATATTGCTCTACCCCAACACAAGCACGCAATCCACAGACAATTTATACTCTCAACAGGTACTCGCACAGACAGACC